GATGCCTGGTTACCAGCCTGGCAACCACTTTTAAAAGTTAGCGTTGAGCCCTGGATAATGTTTATGGTTAAGTGTTAGCACCCCCCGAAGAGGCACAAGCTCTTACGTTGATATTGGAGATTTCAATAAATTCAATTTGGCTGCCGCAGGGAAGGAAAAAAAAAGAATAACGAAATTGAAACCCGAATAGTACTCCAACGAACGAATATTCGGGTACAGCCCCGGCAGCCAGATGACAAAATGTCAGTCATAACTAGTTCTGATCCAACCCGAGCCATCTGATTAGCTCTGCCCGTCTGCTGCTAGCCACTCACACGTGAATGTGAAAGTGGGCGGGAAAAGAACAAGCTAACATTGTGTCCAGCTGCCCACCTTGGCAGTGACGGGAAAAAGGAAATCAGTGTGTTTTGTTTTGGGGTAGGCTGCGACAGAGGAGGCTGGCTGCAAACACATTAAAGTTGCTGCCTCTGTGAGCAAGGACACACTATGGAATCATTAAATATGAAAAAAAAGTGATATCCTTGAGTGACATATTTCAGTTTATTTAAAGAAAGTGCTTTGATGGACAGAGAGTTACTTTTCAGTTACAGCATTCAACTGTAAAGTGGGTTCAGCTGCTCCAAATCACGTCTGTGCACACAGGCTGACAGTATAGGAAAATGAAGACTGATAAACATCACAGTCACTGACCACAACTGATTCTGCCGCTGCAAATCAGCTGATTTATGAGAGGAAATCAGTGCTACACACTCCTAACACCAGCGGACGGAAGGGAATACAATCATTGAAGCTGTGACACGAGTCAATTATTTCGCTTTCTTTCGCACATCAGATTTGTTTTACGAAAAGTGCTCTAGAATTGAACGACACATGGTGAGCACACAAAATATTCACACTACAGTCAGAGGGGAACAGTGGGAAAAGTGCTAATTAGTTTCAAAAGAACATCCTTGACAAATAAGAACAATCACTCAGCAGTGATCCCGACTGCTCAGGGCCATTTGGCTTGTGCACTTTGCAGTTTTCCTCGTTTCTTCACCCGCCCACCTATCTGTACTTTCGCCCTGCCTCATAACAGCAGAAATATGTGCTGCCTAACTGTCGCTGAGATTTGCATGTACCGCCTGCACACGGTGCGAGAGATACAATAAAACCTGCGTTGGCGTCACTGCATACTTCAACATGTTTCAGCCTGTGTTGGTGAGAAAGACGTAACCTGTTGAGCCCCAAGCCTGTTTTCCAGGTCTCAGGCTCGAAAATGACATTCCCAGAACAAACTTCCCTTCTAAAAGGGGTAAATTAATAATCTTTTTCTCAAAGCAATGATAAACCTGTGAGTTGGATGTAGAAAAGTCAGAATCAATATAGATTTTTTTAATAAATTCAGATTGAACATAGCCAAAAAATGTAAATGATTGTGTACGTCCTTGAATGATGGGATCGGAGACTAAAAGCTTTAGGAATCCAAACTATAACATATAGTGTTGTCACGATACCAACATTTTGGTTTCGATACCAAGTCAAGAATTGCGATTCCGATAATTTTTTGATACTTTTCTTAAAAAAAGGGAAACAGTCTTAAATGTAATTATTAGTGGTGCACGATAATTATCGGCCCGATAATTATCGGTTCGATATTAGGAATTATGACGTCATCCCGATAAACCCGATAACAGTATTAATAGCCCCGATAATATACAATATATTTTTTGGGTAAAAAAAGGAAAACATACTGCGGTGTGGGTGGATTGGGATGAGGGGCGCCTGTTTTTCACTCGGCTCCTCCCGTTTTGCCAGTACTGTGGTATTAGTGGTTTAGGAAGAGGGGAGTTCTTCACAAATCCAGCGCTCCCTAACTCATGCCTGGCTGTGACGTAAATGGTGTGCGGCCGTGAAGCCAGGACAGTAAACAAACATGTCGTCGGTAGTATGGGACTATTTCAAAGTTAGATAGTTCGCTTGCTATTTGTATTAACAAATGCAGAAGTTCCACGAGGAGGGAAAAAGGCAACGAGCTATAATACTGCCAACCTGATTAGTCACCTGAAACATCGCCATCGCTACGATGGTGTGTTAAAAGCGTACGAAGACGCATGCGCTTCTAAACTAGCGGCGAATCCAAAGCCAGCTGCAAAGGCACCGGGGCTTTTACCTATCGACGAGGCTTTTGAAAAAGGCAAGAAGTTTGCCAGAGACGACCCCAGGGCTAAAACGATCTCTAACTTCATCATAGAAATTATGGCGCTTGACGAGAGTCAAAACTGTTCTTGGCTTTGTTTTGTTCATAGTAGTAATGCTCATGTCATTTGCTCACTACTAGTCTTTTTGTTACCACCAGGTGTGCAAAAACTACAGGTACATTTAATATATATATATATTATATTATTATCGGTTATCGGTATCGGTCTTGAGAAGCAGGAAGTTATCGGTATCGGTTTCAAAAAACCAATATTGTGCATCCCTAGTAATTATTGTGCTTTATTTCACACCAGAACCATAACAAACTTTTAAACAATGAGATAAATGAAATAAAGTATCTATCCATCTATCTAGGTATGTGCTGTAGCATTTGAACACAAACAGATCAAGTCCTGATCCTCATAGCATTAGATAAGGTGCTGTTTGAATGTGAACAGATGCCACATTCCATTTCTTTGACTCTTCATACAGATTGATGTCTCTCCTGCTTAACCCTGGACATCAAATACAGGCAAGAATGCCCGAAACAATCCTAAGCATTGCTGCCTTATTCCCCCTCTTGTTTTACTCTACATGGTAAATGTGAAGAGTCAGCATGATGGTAAACTGTGCATTCGTCAAACGGCTCCTGCTTTTGACCTCAAGTCCCCCCCCTCACAGACTACAAGGACAAATCCATTCCCACACTCATTATATCCACTTCTCACTTGATATTCCTGCGGGAGGCATTTGCTCACTTTTGCGCAATAACTGGCACAGTGAGCGTGAATACACTGCAGGAATTTGACCCTCGGTTCCCCCGCCTCTCCGGGGCCAGCAGAACTCAGGCTTGGCAGGGGGACATGTCCCCAGGCCGTCCTGTTCCCGGCCAACACACACCTACCAGCCTCACTGAGGACTGCAGGTTCAGGAGTGGACCTCACCCCCGGTTTGCACAACAAGCCTCAGTCTGTTAATGATTGGTAGGTTAGATGTTCTGTTTGAGCAAACTTTGACCTGTGTGATCTCTCTGCAAATATGCAGAGTCCTCGCAGTCATCTAACCACTTTTAGTTAACAGCAAGGTTAACCTGCAGGGCGTGATGCTAATCATCAGCAGGAATGCTTGATGGTGACGGCTAAAATGCTGAGTAGCCTAATAAAAATGCACGATTCTATGCTCGGCATGCTGTCACACCACTAGAAAGTATGCCAGCCATTTGGCTAGTAAGAGGATAAGAAAGGGCGCGTAGCCTGGTTAGCTCTACACACAAATAAAAACACACCCACTCAATCATTCCTCTTGCTTAAGCAATGGTTCTTGAAATCATCCATCATTATACTGCCTCTCCACTCCCTAAGGAGAGGTTGGGTGTCACAAGTGACGCTCAAATGATCAGAACTGCATCCTCCATTACCCAATATATCAGTGCTTCACTGGGTCTTTATTTTTGAGATATGATCATACAGCAAGGCTAGGTTACTAGCAAGGTTACTAGCCATCATAGGGGAAAGTCTGCAAAGTATGTCAAGGAACATTAGCATTGATTCTGACTCAGTGGCATCTATTGGAAAGCATGTCAACACAGAATTAGAGGATGAGGAGAAATTGGATGGAGAGTTGATGAAGGTGGGGGAGGTAGAGTAGGAGTAGGTGCTGCTTGTTTTAGACAAGTAAAAAAGGCACAGTGGAAATGTAGATGTCTTAAGGAGATGATAATCAGGTTATTTAGACAATTGGTGTTGTATTAGGCCAAAAAGCTGGGGGTGCAGGGCCAGGTGTACCACACGAGAGGTTTCATATCGCTATCCGAGTATGTATGCAGAATATAACTGAAGCCAAAATGTGCAGCACAGCTAGTGGGCGTTTAGCTCTTTGCAGTGAAGTGAGTGGGGATACAGAAACGAATATGTCCCAGGGCTGTGGGAAGAATATCAATTGAGGTGTGATTGGCACACACACCATGTAACAGTCTGCACGTACTGTACAATGGGTGTCTCCACATAGCTTACCAATGCTCCTAGCTTTAGCATGAGGTGATGTTAAACCTGACCTGTCAGAAAAGCAGTCTGTGCCACAGATTGTTCATTAACAACTCTGTATGTTCTAAATATGTAAATAGTCTATTTGGAATCATTGCTAAACAAGTTGCTAACCATGGGAAGAATATCACCAGCAGGCCATGGGTTATAATAAAACTGCCTGCTATGAATGTAATCACTGCCCAAGAATCACTGCTTTCTCTCAGTGTACAAAACAGATACAATGTGGAGACATAATGAAGCACAGCAGCTCCAGAGTTACATTATCGGAGCATCGGCCTGGTATCGGTCAGCAGCTGAAACTCCGTCAGTCTTATCGGCCTCCACCCTGCCAGTGGGGCAGGACGCCCAGATAACACCATTCCCCTTTCTATTTAAAGCCTCGCAGGGCTGCACAATCACACGTTTGATTTTTTTTTTTACAACAATGTGGCGCCCCGTTTCCTATCGCAGAGGGAAAACAACCTATCTAAAGAGTGAAAGCTTATGTTGGACACTCACACACACACCGAGCACGACTGATTCACAGAAGTAATAGGAACATTTATTAAGAGGGAAATTAAGAACTTGACATTGAGAAGCCGAGCTGAGAGCAGTGTGGTGGGTGTGAAGCGGGGCTCTAGGAGCAGCTGCGGGCTTCACACGAACCCGAGGCCCGCTCTGCCTCTGACCTCCTCTCCCCATCACATCCCTCCCTGCCATTTTCTTTCTACCCGCCGACACCGCCTCCTCTCAGCCCGGCTCCACTCGGCCCAGCTGGGCCCGACTTTGGTTCCTTACCTTCCTCTGCTGTTTCTCCCAGGCCGGGTCCAGGAGCAGGTCCCGGTCCCAATCATTCTCTTGCTCCATGTATATCTGCACGCCCTCGGTCGAGGATTGATTATTAGCAGCGTGATAATCTACCATGTCAGCAAAAGAGAGCTGAGTGCGCCACTGAGAGCCAGTCGGGAGGGGGACAACGTACGAAGAAATATTTTGTATAGAAATTAAACAAAGAAACGGCGGCCTAAAGCTGAGAGGTGGGACGTGGAGGGATACACGACCCGGGAAAGTGTCCTTCTGCTCTCGTCGCGTTCAGTCGTGAGTGCGTTTTATGGTGTGATGAATATCCGGCGTGTGCAGTCCGAAAAATCCCCGCTGCTGCTGTGAGAAGAAAAGCTTTCCCTCTGAACGGTGAGGGTGCTGGGAGGAACCAGCCGCTCCTACAGGCTGCAGGCACCGACAAGCTACCGCACTGAGCGACGCCACTTCCGGTTTGCCCTTTCAAAGTAGAGTTCAAAGAGTTCCCACACCACCGGCAACTTCCACAAAAACCTTTGCATTTGTTTTGCCACTAAAGCAAAGGGCACTTTTTTCTTCCTCTCTTACACAAACGTATTAGTATTAATTTGATATGTTATCACAAATAAACAAACAAAATAAATACATTATTGCAAAGTCCTTAATGTCCACCATTGTGAATAGGGTTGATTCATTTAACTTTAATGATCAATTTGTTAAACAAGTGCAAAAGTTAATTGGAGATGTATTGGGCAATTGTTTTATTCTGGTTATTCGCTCCCGAAGTTATGAGATTTTATTTTGAAGGGAGCCCCGCTTGAGTTGCGCTGTGAATCTGTGTATTTGACACACCTGTCTCCAGTAGCTTCTATAGGCCCAGACAGCTCATGAATATTCATACAATATTTGAACATGAGCTTCTGAGACAATTAATCAATACACAGTGTGTGTGTGTGTGTGTGTGTGTGTGTGTGTGTGTGTGTGTGTGTGTGTGTGTGTGTGTGTGTGTGTGTGTGCGTGTGTGTGCGCGCGCGCGTGTGTGCGCGCGTGTGTGTGTGTGTGTCTGTGTGTGTGTGTGTGTCACTGTTTTTATTACATTTACATTTTCAACATTGTCTTTGTTCCAGATTAATGAGAGAGTTGCCCTGAAACAATTGAGATGACATGAAACGCAGGCAAGTTTCTAAATCCATTTTATATATGACAATTGCTTTAAATCAGGACAGTTTATTGCGAAATCTGCCTTAAACAGCCTTCCCGATTTATTCTAAAATATTTTAAACTTTACAACATAATTTAACATTATGCAATCCATGCTGCTGTGTTTTGGGATTTATTTTCCATTCCATAAAATATGAAATGAAGGTGAACACCTGCAATTTATTAACAATATTAATAACAGACAGAATTGTATATGATTAGAGTCCTTTAATAAAAGTATACTGAATCATAATAAAACTGCAACAATTGGAACAATCAACAAATCTTTTTCGGTGAACAAGTTATTTTCTGTTTTTTTCAATTATCATGACTAAACCACATCTACATATCATTTCAGGTGAGTGCTGCTATGTCAACAAAACCTTGAAGTTAAAGTAAAAGTCATGCATTAAATTGTTAGCTGGCGTAAAAATATTAAGAATAATATACTCAAAGCGCCAAAAGTAGTAGTAATGGCCCATTTAAAACCATGTTCATTTGAAAAAAAAGTCGGGCCCCCCCCCCAACACAAATAGTCAGGCTCAGTGGCGGCACCAGAGATTTATTTTGGGGGTGCTGTGGGGTAGCTTGACGTTTCATAAGGCGCATTCACACCGCAGTACTTTTCCATTGGTTCATGAGAACTTAGTTCATGAGAACTCTTTAGTTCATGAGAACTCTTTAGTTCTCATGAACTATAAGTGCAGATCTCGTTCACACCGGAATAAGTCCCTGGGGGAGGATTAGGCAAATGAAGCCGCTGACGTCACTTCTTCTTCTTCTGCTTTGGGTTTACTGGCAGGCCGCAAACCACTTCACGGCGTATACTGCCACCCGAAGTCCCCGGAGTTGGAGACTGGCTTCAGTAGAAGCTGCTGGGACTCCCAGCAGCTTCTACTGAAGCCTTCCGAGTAAATCGCCAGAACGCCAACACCTCCTCATCTCCTCCGCTCCCATGTTTTCTTTTGTGTTGCCATAAGTTAGTCTCTCTGCGTTTCTGCGCTGGGCTAATGCTAATAATGCTAATGCGAGGATAATAAAATGGCGGCTTCACAAAACTTTTTGGGAGTTTTACGGGGCGTGGTTTGCAATCCACCCAGCCAATCAGACATAGGAACCTTTTTCTCCAACGAAAGTCCCTGCTCTCTAGCAGGGACGGAAAGGGCAATAGAGTCTGGATCATAGACTGTATATATAAATGGACGTAGGGTCCGTGACGTCACCCATAGGATTCTGCAGTTGCCGTGAAGCCCTTAGTAGGCGGAGTCGGCCACTAACGGCTCGACAGTGACGTCAGAGTTCAACTCCCGCCTTCTCCAGCCTGCTCCAAATAAGGGCAAAGAGGCGGAGCCTGCTGCCACCGAGCTGGAAGTTCCAGAGCTAGCTGAAGCTACCAAGCTAAGCTAACATGCTCCCCATCTGCACGCTGCCGTCGCATTTTACGTTTCTAAGGTAAGCGGACATGAAACTATTCAGCAAAACTATAAATAATAATCTAAGTTATTGAGTTTTAACATAATACTTCAGAATCTTAAAACCCCTTAACGTTTGTATGCAATTGTGCTAAATTCAACACTGGAATCAAGCAAATATTAATATGTTTGCATGACATTAGTTATTTATATTTTGATATCACTTAACTATACGTTTAATACATTTAAGTCAAGGTAAGGTACATGTGATGGAAGCTAGTTAGCGCTCTTACCTGTGAGGCCTCCTCCAAACAGCATAATAACCAGACTGTATCATTAAAACTAAGTACCAGTTATAGATCCTTGACTTTAGACAAACAATTCAAAAGACAAAATGTATTTAAAGACCAATCTTTATTTGAATGTGCCTCTTAACCTGAGATATTAGTTATACAGTAATAGTATTGACAATCTAAAAAAACTGAGCAACTCAACAGTCAACTTTATGTTTCTTATTGTCTAAAGCATTTATTATTTTCATTTTCCCCCTCTCATATTCAGTGTGGACGGATTGAGACAGCATGGTGTCCAGAGAGCAGCAGAGACTTCAGGGAGAAACCTCCGTGTGATGGACGTCCTGTCTGTTGGTTTGGAGAGGACTGAGGGTCTTTCCTCTGCGAGGAGGACCAGGGCTGATGAAGGAGCCCATGCTGGGCAAAGCTGATACCAACTGCACAGGCCTAGTCGGTCACTTTATTTGACTAAATGTGTTTAATACATTTAATAGGTTTACACCTTCTGTCCATATGTGCTTTTTATTTAAAACATTTGATTAACTTTTGGTTCACATTTCAATAAATTGTATTTGTATTTGCACTCCTTTTGTCCATTATTCTTACTGAAAATGTTAGATTACACATTCACATCTGACTGAAGATTGGCCCCATTTATTTGTGACGTTGCAAAACAAGGTACATGTTGTGAAGCTCATAAAGTGAGGCAAATAGAAATAATCAGCTGATGGAGTGTAGATGTGGAAATAGCTGCATTCGATCAGCTGACTGTTTTTACAATAAAAGTAGTTTCTTAGTGAATGTCCTGTACTGGTCTTAAAATCTCATAACATCAGCTTTTAATGTTCCTCTTGGATGTTCTTCTTGACCCTCAGAGAAGGAGAAAATGTCCTGTCTTTCAGGCATGTCCTTTCCTAACAAAAATGACAGGAAACATAAAACATATTATTGCAGAACAAGTGTGTTATTTATGAAAGCGGTGTGTTTGTGTGTTTAGCGGCTGTAGATATAATTATTTTGTAATTGTAATGGGTTTTTTTTATTTCAACAATGAGCTACAAAGACAATCAGATTATGAATGAACAGTATGAAGTTCATCAACATTGAAATATATGTTATTATCAAAATAATATTTAACTGTTATCAAAACGTAGTGCAGCTGTAGAAGCTTGCTCTGTTGTCTCACTGAAAGAATCACTTTTACCACGTTTTTTACAGACAATATTGAGAGATAAATAGTAGCAGTTCTCACTATGTGTTAAATATCTTTGCCTTCAATACATTAAATTAGAAAGCTGACAAAGTCATATTGCTAAACATCTAAATGTAACTTTTTGCATGGAAAAACCCCTCAACTTCACTGATGTGTAGGTGATCTAGTATTTAGTATTGTTTAATGGAATGTATATCAGTGTATTCAAGTCAATACTTCATTTATTTAAACCAATATCTTTCTTGATTCTTTGTACAGTATGAAAAAAGAGTCTTTGTACCTGTGCTGAAGTTCACTGCTGTGAGGAGTCCAGTTCTGTCTCTCACTCTCTGGTCCAGCCTGTCTGCATCACCTGGACACCTTAAACAAACAGATATATATGTAAAGTACCATGTGTACAAACAATATAACTGATTCTCTTCTGTTTAACATGTTGGATTGTGTATTGTCCGATTCAGGGTCCTTTTTATTTTACTGTAACTTTGGAAGTTGTGTTACCAATGCTTACTGTTTATTTGATACCCATTTGGTAATGCAATTAATAAAAACAACAAGGTTTGGGTTCGTTCTTCAGATGACTGTGACGTTAACGTGTAAGCTCAATAATGAACTCCAGCTCAACCAACCATATTGTAATATCTAAGTAATCATCTTGAAATATGACATTAATAATTGTAATATACACACATCTTATTGTGAGGTTGATTTCACATACACTACTTCGACATTAGCTTGTCTACATACTTGAGCATAGCCAATTTAAATTAACCTTAGATGCATACAGTTCTACCTACATAATAAAATATCTCTAAGTTACAAGGATGTAACCTTATTTTATAACCTCAAACAGAAGCCGTTTGTTCAACAGTATTATCCCACTTAACACTTGTCTATTTCGTTGTAACCTTTATATATACAGTCTATGATTTTAACTTGGAGGCTACGATTACAATCGTTAGCACCAATGTAGCTACCACTAGCTTACATGCTAACCCAAGCCTTACCATTCATTACGTAGCTGATTAAAATCCTTAACACATAAATAGAGCACTAGAATTTCACTTACCGCAAAACCGCATTCATGCACCATCTGTTTTAACCGCAGAGCGAGTCACAATAGTCCGATATATAAGCATGAAGAACAAACAACCACGGCCGGCTACAAGTTGTGTTTCCTGGATGAGCTGAGCAGGCAGAGTCCCTGTAGCTTCACGGAGCAGCTAGCAGAGAGACAAGAAGCTAACAGCGGCAGGCACTTGACAGAGCCGTCACTCAATGTGACCACGCCCTAAT